TTTACAATTTCAAACGAAATCCATTTACTCATTTTTTTAACAATAATGAACTAAAGTAGCATTAATTAGAAATGTAAAAAAAACGTAATAACCCTTACTAGAAAAATGAAATAAAAATATACATGTTTTTACACTTTTTGATTAATTTGTCTATGAAACTTATCATAAAACATACATATGAAATAAAAGTTCTTAAAAATTTGTTAAACAAAACACCAGAAACATGTAAAAAAGCAGAGAATTATCCAAATCCAAATGTACAGCGTCTGTCACGACGAGCTGAGTCTATATGGCAAACTACTGGCACTATTTTTGTGAAAATTTGCATACGGGTTTACCCGAGGTGCTCGTTTCAGCTAAAATATTTTCAGATTTCTCCAACTTCCGGTTATACCGGAAATGGACCCTAACTTCGTTATTTTAACAACTTTTATTGAATTTTCCAGATCCCCGCCAAATTTTAATACAATTTGGTATAAGTCATCATATGTCTAGAGTGCACCATTTTTCAATTATTTCAGTCTTCTCGAAAATTTTGGCAGATGCAACCCTTCACAATAAAACTAATTTTTCGAAATTACACTCGAGTCCGGCCAAATATTCTCACAGAGACGACCCATAGCTTACATAATACTTGAAAAGCAACCCCCAAATTAGGGTCGCCATTTAAAAAAATGAAGTTTTCGACTTTTTGAGATAGGGATATTCGGGGCAAATTTCTGACCAATCTGTATAATTTTTTAAAAAACTTTTAAGGGGTTATGTAAACTATGGGTCCTCTCTGTGCAAACACTGAGAATATTTTGCCGGACTCGATTGTAATTTCGAAAAATTACTTTTTTGTAATTCGCGACGGTAATAAAAGCTATAACAGTACTCAAACGAGTGCTGTAATGAGACTCTTTACAGCATCCGATGCTGTAATGAGATTTTAGTAACATTTTATGGAACCATGTTCATGTTGGTGACATTGGGTCATTAATTTTTCTAGTTGTCAATGTGACAATGTTTGTCTATGGATGGTTAAATACGTTCTTAGCATCGAATACAAGGTCCACAATGATGAGGACATTGAACTCTGAGCAATTTCTCTTATTTTGGGAGGTGTACATGAAACATGTTTGTCAGGTGAATACATTTTGTGTTTTGACAGNAGTAGCATTAATTAGAAATGTAAAAAAAACGTAATAACCCTTACTAGAAAAATGAAATAAAAAGATGCATGTTTTTACACTTTTTTGATTAATTTGAAACTTATCATGAAACATGCATATGAAATAAAAGTTGTTAAAAATTTGTTAAATAAAATTCCAGAAACATGTAAAAGAGTAGAGAATAATCCAAATCCAAATGTACAGGGTCTGTCACGAAAAGGAATACTTGGAAAGGAACCCCCAAATTAGGGTTGCAATTTAAAAAAATGAAGTTTTCGACTTTTCGAGATAGGGAAATTCGGGAAAAATTTTTGACCAATCTGTATAATTTTTTAAAAGACTTTTCAAGGGTTATGTAAACTATGGTTCCTCTCTGTGCAAACCCTGAGAATATTTGGCCGGACTCGAGTGTAATTTCGAAAAATTACTTTTATTGTGAAGGGTTGCATCTGCCATAATTTTCGAAAAAACTGAAATAATCCATAAATGGTGCACTCTAGACATATGATGACTTATATCAAATTGTATTAAAATTTAGTGGGGATCTCGAAAATTCAATAAAAATTGGTACATTCCATTTAAAATAACGAAGTTGGGGTCCATTTCCGGTATAACCGGAAGTTGGAGAACACTGAAAATATTTTAGCTGAAACAAGCACCTCGGATAAACGCTATATGTAAATTTTCAGAGAAATGGTGCCAGTAATTTGCCATATAGATATAGACTCAGCTCGTCGTGACAGACCCGCTTGATGGTAAAGATACCGATAAGAGATACAAACAGACCGGCTGCACAATTGGAAATGAGTTATACACTGTTATGCGCAAGCGCTAAAGAACGTGACAAACCGTACATCGTCGAAACCAGGTATGCATTTGACTTGTCGCGGACGCGTACATGAACGAGTCCGACGTAGTGATGGGCATAATCGAGATATATGAATAATCGATTATTTGATTATTAATCGAATGAAATAGTCGATTGTTTTTCCATTCGATGATGAAAGTTGAAATAAAATTCTATCTAAAATATTTACGGTATTACTACTTCAGAGGGCTGTTTCGGGGATTTACCGAATTCTTTGAAACTCGATGTATATACACGTGCACACCCCTACCCGAACTACGTTCGTCGTTCACTCGAGCATAAACTACTCGGCAGTATTGTTGTGT